TTGCTCGCTCCACTCAACCATTCATTATTTTTGTAGTTAGAAATAATTTCTGGAAATACATTTGTTGATAATGACAGAAAATTATTGGAAATTATATTAATCCGCTCGATTCATCGACAGTACTTGACCATTACCGATAGTCAGCAATTGCTCCGAGAAATCTTCAGCAGATGTATCATTAAGCAATGTAACTCTCATGTTTGTTGTCAGTTGCAGTTTCTTCACAAGCGCCATAGATTTGACGATTTGAGGCAAGCGTTTATTTCGTCGGCGCATAGATCTTGGAATTACTGCAGTATTTGGCGGAAATCGCCAGACAGTAAAATCATTGCTCCTCCAAAACATCTCGAGTCATTTGCCGTAAATCTTTTAATGTTTCGGTTAAGTGCTTCTAATGCACGTTTTATGCGTTTTTTATATATTTATTTTTTTATATTTTCTTACAAATATCAAAATTGTCATCCCATAAGATCATACATTACTGGTCATTATACGTCAATTACATAGCTGTTTCAATTTGCAGTTTGTTATTCCAAGTCTGATTCTTTTTTGTTATACCATGTTTTTAAATGTGACTTGACGTTTCATGTCAGTCAGCACGGATGCTGTCGAACGGGAATAAAAAAGTATCCTATTGTTCTTCTCCTGGCTCAAAACTACCTCCCTGCCAATTTTCAGCATAAATCATCGGTTCAGCCGTTCTTGAGTTATAAGTGGAGTAACTAACACGACTTTCTTTTATATATATAGATGAGATTTATGAGAAAATTTCTTTAACAATTTTCTCATAAATCACTCAATACCCTTTATTTATTACTCTACTAGACAACGTTAACTGCGGATCTATATTTGCGAAGTTAGCATTATTTATTTAAATTTTATAAATAAATTTGTCATGAAATTTTTGAAAAATAGAATTCTGTGAAAAAACATATTTCAGATTCCTGCCAAGTAATTATTTTCAATGTAGATCAGTTCAACTACAATACTACAGATAATACACAGTAAAAATTTCAAATTACAATCTCCAATGGTTTCTAAGATTATAGGTCATCAATATTAAGAATTTAACATGGGTAACATATGAGGGGGTTGTATTACCTCATTGAAAGATGTATAAGTGAAGGATAAATTATATCTGTGTGACACCAGTGAAATCGCTGGTTTAATATTGGCGGTAACGGTCAGGCCGAGTATACATTGAAACCTTTGGAATATTCATAATTAAATAGGTTTTATGGAAATCGAATACTATTGAATATACAACACATACCGAATTCATACATGCATTTTCCTCGATTCGAGAAAAACATACCCAATTTTCGGGTACAAAAGTACCTGTCTCGCTTCGCCTCCTGCACTAATCTTGACCATCTTTCGAACACTAATAGACCTTGATCCTGATGTGTGTGTGTGTGTGTGTGTGTGTGTGACAAGTTATTATAGTTCAAGGAAGAAAATGTATAATTTACAACAAAATGTCTTGCCCTAAGATATTTGGAAATTTTGAAATTGATACTTTGTGCATTTTCAATATGCGAGTTTTATAATTTATATTGTCTATATTTGCTGTCTAAATGATTCTTTTATTTTATTTAAAGTAATTTAATTAAGTATTTTCTTCCTCCTTTGATATTGTGCACAAAGTCTACTTGTTTCAGCTAAAAGTCTGCCAAGTACTGCACTTTATACTTCAGTGGCAATTCTAATTTAGTATTTAATGCAGTATTTTCCTGTCCTTCTAATGTCATAGGCAGTCCTGTTTTTATAATTACGTAATTAACGTTATTGGTAAATTAAAGTAAATATATTATGGGCAGATCAAGAATGCTTGCTTGATAAAAGGTTTTGTAAGATAATTTTTTCCACATTGATTTGATTAATTTGATTTCTTATCAATTCTATTATCATTTTTGTTGCGTCTACATTTCATATATTATTTGAAATATCCGGTTGCTCTTTTCTCAAATCAAATATTATAGTATAATTATAACATCAGTTCTAACTTACTAGAGCACATTTCGCCATACTTACCCTACACTCTTCATGACACTTCCATTTGCCGTGCCATTAAACTTACCTAATCCTCTTCCTATGCCATTATTACCACTTTCGGTAGTCAATAGCTTGAAGCGGATTCAAAGGCATGGCTGTATTAACCTGGAGGTTATGGCTTGGTCGGCTACTGATGTCACCATAAATGATTTTGTTTGAACATCATCTCATTCTTTATCACTTGTCAATGTCAATTATTTTTCATGGCAACCCCTACCATTCTTCTATGAAATCTGTTCCCATGAATGCATGGAATCTACTGTTCTGATTCCACGCTCAGAAAAGACATGGATATAAATCGTAATACTCCTATCTCGACTAGGCTAAAAAATGTGTATGTCACCCGTTATCGGTTCTCATTCTTCGTCATGACAATGTATTATTGTCTTCGAGATTTAAACAAATTTGCATCATGCTTTATCAACCTTGAACTCAGTAAATTTGATACAGGTTTCATTTACTCTTTTATCACTGGTTATTTCAAAGTCTTCCAGAATTTCAGAAGCCTAGCTGAGTTTTCCGTCTGCGTAAATTTCGGGCATTTTACGTTTTCACATTTTGCGATAGTATTGCATGGTACTTTTAAGCGTTGGTAAAAAGATTTACTCATGGCATTTGGTTCAATGTGCACATTTTATTGTTTTGGATTATATGGTTTTCAAACTTAAGCACACACTTTAATTGATTGTACAAAATATATTCTTTTGGAGGCTCTGTAATTCATTCTTTTGTTTACCAGTACAAAAAATTCCATTAAGAAATCCAACTTTTAAAAAATTAACTGCTAACCAATTATTCAAGAAGTAAATGTAGGAACATTTTTCAATCATCACTTTCAGAAGTACTTTAAGTGTTTTAAATTAATATAAAATTAATTTCATTTTGATTATCCATGAATGTGTTTTCAGCAAAAATACCAACTTTGTATTACTACTTCTTTCTTTCATCATTTTCATCTATGAAAGCGTCACGAAAATAAATGTGTTTTTATTATGTTCTGACGTACTAGAAGATTAAGAATATCTACAAAAACTTTCTCAATCTCATTACTTTCGTGTCATTCAATACAGGACGTTCCACGTTCGATGAAACGAATAGAATAGCTAATTAGGAAGAATAATATAAAACTCTCAGTTCAAAGTTTCTCACAAACATAATAGATAATACCAAACAAAAATAACTGCTCTAAAACAGTGTATTTTATCGACTATTATAAACAGTTAAAGTTGTATTTGAAAGACTTTTCTTATCTAATTGCATTTGTTTTTGATCGCTTGATCGGTCATAAACTACAGCTAATACTTTACGACTAGAGATCTCGTATACCTTATGATATATTCAAAAATTGTTTTTGTCGCCAGTATACAAGTGAAAGTTCAAAAGTCTAAAAACTGCTTTCTGAGATCAATCAAGTTGAAGTTGATTCTGATAAAGTCGTCTTGTGCCAAAATTATATTTAGTACACCCAAATTATAATTTATAATTTTAGTACAACCAAACTCCAGGAACTCAGTGATTTTGTAAGTTAAAACAATATAAAAATGTGATTAAGCGATTTATATAAGTCCACACCATCAAAATAGAAATCTATGTTTTTCACTTGTAAACCAACTATATATTTTATAACTTTATGAGATTTTTATTACAGAAAAGAATGAATGCTTTATCTTTGCAATACTACAGTAATCCTAAGTAAAAGATGGGTTACTCGTTTTTCAGTGAATAATCCACAATTCAATTATCGATATATGAATTTCATGAAGAATGTGACTAATAGAAATGATAAATTACTGTGAAATGCTGTACTGTGGATATTGACTGAGAGGCAATTTAACACTACTACACATCTTGAAATTTTCAAGACGTAATGAGTGAACATATTCTAAAAGAATGTACTATATTAGGAATATACATTATGTAAGAACAATATATAAAATAATGCCTGATGAGATATATATCACTATAAATTTAAAATATAAATTTGTTATTCATAATATCTTAAATTATCTTGTGTATATTTGTTATCATTGTATCACAATAATTGCAGAAGATTTTACATATTTATATTTATTATTAATAATAATACATCTATATCAGTTGTTTACTACATTACTTGAAATTTAATCTGCTTTACTAAAAATTATTTTATATTTGTTCAAGTAATATTGTAATTATCTCGACTATATCATTAAAATATTATGGGACTAGAGTATTCTATTTTTGGAAGCATTTACAAATACCATACCCCTATGAAGATAATTCACGGTAGCAATATTTACCTCTTCAAAAACATTTAGACACGTCCATTCTACATATTTATTTACAAAAGCCAGGAGTACATTTTTAATGGTGGGTATATATTCTTTGGTGAGTATATTCTTTGTCGATCTCAGCCATATAACACCGGATATCCAGAGAAGGTTGGGTAAGTTGTTAAAGCTGGGTAACTAGGATACGCCAGACTAGGATACCTGCAACAATTATCACAGTAGTTTCAGAAGAATATTCCGTCTCTTCAGATACGATATGGTGAATATATACACGTTTTGCAAAGGCCTGGGGAACTGCAAGAAAGGCAAAGCGTCAATTGAAACACATAGTCTTCGTATGATGAGTGATTAATATCACAATATTTTGTTAATTTTCTCCAAATTAAAATAAATCAGCTCAATATGCCTTATCTTTGAAACAAGATCAAAAAGAAATGTATTTGCAAATACTAGAATACGTGCAGTGACTTGTAAAAAAGAGGAATCAATGATAATTATTATTAAACATTAAAATCATGTTTTCTACTATCTTCTCCAATGGAAGCCTTAATATTTATTTCTAATTTTGAAAAAATGATTCTCAGTCACTTTGGTAAAAATAGACACCAGAATATTACACAAAAATGATATTTTGTTCGAATGAATACTATTTATTTGTGTATAATTTTGCTTTCCTTTATTTTTTCAGGTAAGTGCTTCAAGTTCCATTTTGAAGCCATCTTCAAAGCTGACATGTAAGTCTAATTGTCAATTTTGATATAGAAAATAATTGTATATGCGTCATTTACTGAACAGGGTATGTTATTTGCTTGATTGAATTTCAAGCCGAACTATTTCAATGACAAATTGCCTGAAAATGTAGAGTTTTCAGCAATTCCAAAGTTGATGGATACATTTTTGTTAAGAATATTGTGAATATTTATTTTAATTTAATACGTCGTAATGTATCAAACAAGATCTTGAAATACGTCTACTCTGAAATATTATCCTTAATTAAATAACGCTTGTTTATGTACTATATTTGTTTTAAATACAGTTTCTTTCTTGAATGGTAAGAATTGGTTGTCGTCAACCATAAAAACCCGACCAAACGTTCGTGAAAATTTAGGAGTTCTGAAATTAGTCGTGATTGTTCGAAGATACCTACCGCACACCATACTAAATAATCCTGAATTGTGGGGTTTAAGCCAGGTATGGAGGGACTGTTTAAACTTTGTTTTTTCTAATTTTTTTTACAAATATCTCCATTAACATCAGTAATACCGAACATTATTCTGTATATGGAATTAAAATAGGCAAAATTGCCTACAAAAAAGTTCTGATCATGTTGTGTTATAGAATTAACCTATTTAAAGTTTTAGGCTTGAAAATTTCTTGTTTATCTACTTCAAGTCACAATTTTAGTTAACCTCCCTCAACGACTCGCGAGTATCAGGCGTCGTTAGGTTCGAGACTATCTCGGATACGAAAATACTCGGATACGTGAAACCCAGATAAGACACAGTTTATTTCATAAGGATCGTGAACAAATCTTTCGTTTAAGAAATGTGTACACTGCCAACATCATAAATTACACAAAGCATCATAAATGGAATAATTATGTGTACCGCATATCGGTAGGGACCGGCACTAGAGAATGTCTCAGGTGATTCGGAGTGAAATTTGAATCAACTTGCAGTAAACGTCAACTGAAAACATCGTCGTCTCGTGATTTCGCAGAAAATTGAGAGAAATCGGAGAGAGATGTTTTTAGATTAGGAATACACCGGCTGCGCATGCGCAGAACGCCACTCCCAGTGCGAAGCGATGAGACATAGGGTCATTTTCTAGTGCAATCTCTACATAAGAACAACTAAAACTGGGAGTCAACGACAAACGAACCGCTCAGTCTTTGAGAAGGGCATCACAAGATTGGGAATTGGAGGATGTCCCAATATTCCGAAAATCTCAAACGACTATGAATGTTTTGGAATGAATTATAACACGTAGTAGAACAGTGCTTGTAAATGTGCGCGTGTGTGTGAATGTATGCATGAGGGGAGAGGAGGAAACAATAATTACTTGGCTGTCCGGGACACGCCTCGTCCTAGGAACCGGTGCCAACGTTTCGGTCGCCATTCTACAACCTTCCTCAGGGCGAAATGCGCGGAAATAAACGGCGCATGAGTATATATGGAGCGAGGTGACCCTCTACCCGTCAGCAGGTTGGCCGAGCGAGCGGGCAATGCAGAGAATGGATCGATCAATCAGGTATGGGGAACTTCGCTCTATATAAACTTGTGCACAATCCATTTTGCCCTGAAGATGGTCGCAGCATAACGACCGAAACGTTGGCTCCTGCGACTAGGACGTGGCGTATCCTGGACAGACAAGTAGTTACTGACTCCGGTCGCAAAAGCCAACGCTGTCAGGAGGAAACACTGGAAGCGTACTCACTAGTGATGCGACATTGACAACAAAACATAGATGTTGTCAAACATTGATGTTCAAAATTAAAACATCGATGTTAATAATACACTGACCAAAAACAATCGATGTTTCGAAGTTGATTTTGTATCCTTTAACATTAATTACTTGCGCAACAAAATTTAATTTGACGCTTATCAAGTATATTAATTTATAATTAACATTTAACAGAAAACAACGATAAAAACACCCATTCATGTTCAAAATACCAGGAAAGACGAAAGAAATACCGGGTCATGTGGATCATCTCATGCGAAAGTAGTATGATCAACGGAGATAATAGAAAATCCGCGCTTGTTTCGTTCGAACACGTAGACAGTGGTACCATCCATTTTATTTCATATTTTACAAAATTATGACTGTGGGCATTTTTCGTCCATGAACAGAAAATCGAAAACGTAAAAAAACACAGAGCCCAAAACATCCGTGTTCAAAAAACATCGACTTCAATATATCGATGTTCCAAAAACATCGGCTGTAATACATCAATGTTTAGAAAACATCGGCTTTAATACATCGATGTTCAAAAAACATCGGCTTTAATACGTCGATGCTCAAAAAACATCAGCTATTATAAATCGATGTTCAAACAACATCGACTTCAATATACCGATGTCAAAAACATCGATGTTTTTATGGATGTTTTGAAAACATCGCCATCGACGTCACTCCCCTATTACCCACCTGAGGTCGAAGTATCCCGGGTACGGGTACCCGAGCGAGGGGTACACCAGCCCCGGGTAGCCGTGCGTCGAGAAGAGGATGCCCCGCTTGGAACGGGCCGCCTCCTCGTCCGCCCCCGCCGCCGCCGCCGCCGCCTCCACCGCCTTGGTGGCGTCCGCAGGCGCCGCCGCCTCCGGCTGCACGTCCGCCGCAGTCACCTCGGCCGGTCGCGCCGCCGCCAGCGCCGCCACCTGTCACACAGCGCACTAAATGTAGCGGGTTATTCTCTTTTGTTTTTCCCGTTTCACTACGTACTTACGTGGTAAAGCGAACGTATTGCAATGCTGCGGCAGAAATCTGCGTCGAGTGTAGGGTGGCGTGCGTAAGTGATTTATTGGTAATTCCCCGGTCAACTGCTAAGGCCGTAAGTGTAGTGCATTTTCTGTCGAGAGAGATGACGCCGCCGCCTGTCAGACAGCGCACTAAATGTAGCGGGTTATTCTCTTTTACTTTCTCGTCTTACTTCGTACTTGTGGTAAAGCGAACGTATTGCAATGCTGCGGCAGAAATCTGCGTCTGGTCTCCCGAGTGTAGTGTAGTGCGCGTAAGTGATTGATTGGTGATTCCCCGGTCGACTGCTAAGGCCGTAAGTGTAGTGCATTTTTGTTGAGGGAGGAGGTGATGGTGATCTCTCGAATGATGGCTAGATCCATCGCAGGGCTACTAGTCGGCTTGTTTTTTTTTTGTCCAACCTTGTATCTCTTACAGCTCGCTGTTTCGCAATGTGGTGAACTGAAGTGTGGTGAAGTGGAGTTCTATGAAAGATTGCACGGAGAAATGTCCACGTTAATTTGTAAAGTTTGAAGATTTTGTAAAGTTGTTAAGCTCTGTAATGTTAGGTTAGTGTATTCTGCCACCAAGTTCTCACACTTAATTGCAGAATTATTAATAAATCTAATCTCCCACTAGTGGGGCACCGCCCCAGACGGGACAAGCTCCTGTCTAGTCTCGCGAAATATATGCTAGTTACTGCTTGTACTACCTTATGGGGGAGAGGAGTGAACAGAAGACAGAAATGAAAGATTGTGTGGTGATTGACTGATGATAGGGTACTGCTGATGCATTAGCTAATTGCTCGGAGAAATCACGGAAAGCTATCCATCAGACCGGACAGTCACTTATAGTTCACCTTCAGTCAGTAGCTGAGTTCGACACAGGTTTATGGTTCGCGAGGAAAATTCGCCACTCGGACCCTGGGACCTCTCGATCAGAGACACAGCAGAGCCAACTTTTCTGACCCGGAGCTATCACAGCCAGTTTGTGCTTTATGAGGTTTTCATTATCTCAGACTTTCGGCTAGAGTCTAGAAGTGAAAGGAAGCCTTTTAGCCTGGGTATATATAGATTCAACAATGTTGAAATATGCACAGAAATTCTAAATATATTACATTTTGAGTGTTTGGTAACAAAAGTATGCATTTAAAAATGACAAGGGTATAGAAGGAATGTGAAAATGAAAAACATATTATTTATGCACGTTATTTTGAATTAAGAGCACATAAAATTATTTAAAAAAATTAATATCTGTTCCTAGGAATTGTCTCCTATGTAACAACATTTTGTACTTCAAAAAACACCTCTCTACACTACATAATCTGCTAGACGCGTATTTGTATTTTTACGAGGTTGAGCTCAATGCATTTTCTCGACGGTAGGTTCACAGAGGATTCTTTTCGCATTTGATAACCATCTTCCAACCTTATTGGCTTCTTATTCGATATCAATACATTTTACTTCGTCAGTCATGGCCATGAGTCATCTAAACATTTTTTAGTACGTCTATTTTAATCTTCAAGAACGATTATAATTTGCGTAATTGTTTATTATTTGAAAATATGTTTGTTGCATTATTTTATGCATTTTTTTAATTATACAAATAAATATTTTTTCAATTTTAACATGCCAAAAACCTAAGTATGCGAAATACCAGTATGCATTGATTGGGAAATGTTTTCTACCCCAGTTTCATATTTTTTTTGAGCAAAGTGAATTTGTGCTTCAGAAAAATATGCT